TAGATAGATAGATAGATAGATAGATAGATAGATAGATAGATAGATAGTTTGAGGCGTATCAACTGCCTTTAAAAAAACAGACGACAACAGGAAGTTACGTTGACGTTGCGTTTTTTGTACGACGTCATTCGCAAATAAGTTGATCGAGCTGTTATTAGCTCCGTAGCTGTTTTTAGCTACCATCTCATGCTTTCGTAACACTAAGGACTGGAAAGAAATAAAGTTCGAGCTATCCAATACTGAGCGGAAAGGGCCTTTACCGAACTCTGAAGGATATCTGACTTTTCTAATGTAAAACAGCGACTCGCTTCGTGTGGACATCAAACCGAGTCTCGACACAGGCAGCTAGCAGGGGGTTAGCACCACAAATCTCCACACCTTGTGCTGCCCATGCTCACTTATTCCTCCGTTTCTTCTTCGCTGGCCTTCTCACTTTGTCCACCAAGTTCAGGCCGCGGTTCCCCCCGGAGAGAATGAACTGGTTCTTCCCCCTGTCCAAAGGCTCCGGACCTCTCCCTCCTCTGAACAGCCTCCAGCAGCAGAGACAGCGGCAGATCGAGTCGCTCAAAGCCGCTCACCCCAGGTAAACAAACCCAGGCATGGAACTCAAATCCCCGGTCCATGCTGGCGACTAGCTCGTGTACATGTTTTTAACCAAACAACCCAATTACTAATTGAATCACGTAGACGCAAATTGAAATGTGCTTTGAAATTAACTTGTGCTTTTGTGAAATAACGTCTCGAAATCACTAAACTATTCTTTTCCGGGCTCCTATTGTCGCTGATTTTATATACATGTGTCAAAATGAAGTGACAAGTTTTAAAGTGGATTCTCTGTGTGTGTGTTTTGATGGTGTTTGTGAGGTTTTGTAGCTGCTCGTGTTAGCTAAACAAATGGCTGTGATTCCTTTTGGTTCCGTGTTAGCTGCGTGGCTAATGGAATCTGTCAGTGACAGCTACGGGGTCTATTTTTAGTGCTGATTACACGTCGTAGCTGGTTGGCAGTGTCCTGTGATCATTCCTGGGTTTGTCACGCGTGTAGTTTTAGGATGAGCTCGTTAGTTGTGGAGATTAAAGTATTAGCCTTTGTTTACTAGCCGTGGTGAAAACTGAGCGATGGATTATTTTGGAAACCCCATATGCATACACCTGTAAACAAACTCCGAACGTTGTCTTTATTTTTGCACATCAAATGGGTAAAAAATGTGGAGTTTAAATGAGTTTTCATGGTTGGTTTTTGGGGGGAGGACACCACGCACTTCATGTGGAGTTGATTGGATTTCACAGACTAATGTGAAGGTGAATACTTCTCATTCTGTGTTCATGGAAGAAATTGCTTAAGGACAAACAGCAGAAATTCCTCAGCTGTTTTGTGGTTTAATGGTATCTCACACCAACTTCAGGACCAGTAAAAACATTACTTACATATGTATTTAAAACAGCACAATACTTTGGTAAGTAACTTTTTTAAAATGCAAACAGTATTTAGCTACTACAGGGATTTAAACGATAGGGATACCTAGCAAGACGTGGGTTTGGGGAAAACATATTCAGATGTATAGGTATTGAACAGGTGGAAAATCTCAACGGGTATAGCAGGACACACATATGAGGTGAAAAACTGAGTTTGATAAGGACCCAGGATCTTCCTTTCATTGCTCACGTAGTTAGTTTCATGTTACTTCTGGAAACACCCACCCTGAAGAGTTATTGCACAAAGCAAAACTACGGCTAAATAAAATCCAGACTTTTCCAGCAAAGAGCCTTTGTAAATGTCTCAGAAAAACCTTGTGAGCGTTTGCAACGAGGCCCGTGTAATTCTGTGTTTCTCAGTGAGTTTGTGAACACTGAGGGTGGATTCATGTTATTGTTTTGTAAATGTGCTGGACGTGAACCGGACTGGAGATGGTGACTGTTTGGTGTTTATCCACAGCCTCGCTGAGATCCAGAAGGATGTGGAGTACAGAATACCATTCACAATCAACAAGTCCACCATTAGCGTTAACATGTGAGTACAGCTGTCAGCATACGGTGAGGTGGTGGTGTTTTTTTTTATTTATTTGTTTTTTTAAATACAAAAATCAATTCACTTTTGTACAAAATCAGAAATCTGTGTGACACTGCTCATTGCTCTGTCAGACACACGTTTCCCATCTTCCAGCCATCTGCTAAAGACAATGGCCTCTTTTGTGTTGAGTCATCTCAAAGTTGCTTTGTTGGATGGCTCAAACACTGCTGCTCTTATGTCTGATTCATTAGAAAGACGAGTTGTAACGTAGTTATTTGCTCTCTTTTACCATCATCCTTCCAGCTTGCTGCCTCCTCAGTTCCCCCAGGAGAAGCCGGTGGTTAGTGTTTTCCCCCCCGTTGGTCATCATCTAGTCGACAGCAATAATGGCACCATGATCACAAGCCCTCTCATCACTAACGTAAGTCATTTCCCCTCAAGGGTGAGTTCCCTCTGAGACATGAAACATTTAGGTAAACCTTGAGTAAACGAATAACGAATCGACACTCAAAGCGAGATTATGGACACATCCGACAACCCCAACAAAGTTGAGTGTTATCACTAGGGCTGCAACGATTCGTCGACGTTGTCGACAAAAATCGATAATAGAAAAAGTCGACAATGAATTCCATTGTCGACTATTGTCGCCAGACGTGTTTTTCCAACAGAGTGAGACATCTCACTTAATTACAATCTGCCCAGAGTCACCTGCACAACAGCGTCGCGGTTACAGAAATGGTGGCGTCCAACACGCGTACAAAAACTTCCAAAGTTTGGGAGCATTTTATCCTTGATACAACGAGTAAAAAAATTACGTGCAAGGTTTGCAAAACAGACCTTGCGTATCACGGCAGCACCTCGGTGCTGCATGAGCATTTAAAAAGAAAGCATGTTGGGCACTTAAATGAAACGGAGTCTGACTCGCCTCGGTAAGATTTAAGCAACAATAATGCTAATATGTTTTGTCTTTTATGTACATTATACATTTTCTAAGCGTTTCTTTACTTTAAAAGAGAGCTTTAACGTTATGCCTGACTGTGCCTGACAAACGCATTATAAATTAAATGCATGCAGTCCGAAGAAGAGAGCCACCATGGACTCCTTTCTACAAAAGAAGCAGATGTGCACCCCGCAACAGGCGGCTGCCCTCACTGAGTCAGTATTACAGATGAGGTTTATTTATTTATGGATTCAATTGGTTTCAGATAGGACATTCTTATTTACGTTTTGTATCAGCTGCAAAGTTGAATAAAAGATGCATTTTTCATTGAAGTACCCATTTTTCTTGTGTTTATCATTTTCCACTTAACTAAAGCAACTTCATGCTATTTTTAAGAAAAAGTGAATAACTATTCGATTAGTCGACTAATCGTTTCAATAGTCGGTGACTAGTCGACTATTAAAATAGTTGTTAGTTGCAGCCCTAGTTATCACGTGTGTATCATTCGTATTGACCCATCAGCATTCAGACCCCAGCTTACTGTTTGTGTACCGAACCAAAGAGAAGGTCTTGTCTTTGATCTATCTTCACTGTGCTCTCAGGGTTTAGTTGACCTTATTGTTTGTGTTGCAGTTTGGGATGCACTCAGATCTGGGTAAGGTGATTCAGAGTCTGCTGGACGAGTTCTGGAAAAGTCCCCCTGCCCTGATGTCTGGCACTGGCTCTGCCGGCTATCCATAGTGAGTGTCTTTATTTCATTTCCTGAAATATGGAATGGGGGAGATTCTCCACCTCTTTAAGTCCAGGTTGTCTGTCTGCTTGGGTGGGGGATTGTTTTCTGTTTTTTAAACCTACAAACCGTTTCATGTTTTGTTTTTTTCCTCTTCGATTTTGTTGTGGCAGCATGTACAAGCCTCCTTACCCCAGCCCCGCCTTCCACTATGGCCCTCGCCATGCGGGACCCAGTCAGACCCCCCCGCCCGGGCCCGGTGCCGCACCATCACCCGCCCCCCTGCCTCACCCCGGAGTGGACGTCCCTCATGGGCCCCCTCGAGCCCCGGCCCCATACGGACTGATAACCGACTTGCCGCTACCCGTCCCAACTGGAGACTCGCAGGTACAAAGCTGACCGCCGACAGAATTTAAAGGCCAGTGAACACGAGTCCGGTCACTGAACCTCAGCCCTGAAAAACAAAGCATTTGATTTGCCAGTTGGGAGTAAGACAGCAAAAAGCAAAACTAACTCCGGAGTGTCCGAGTCTCCAGCAGACGGGGGCTTCCCGTCCCAGTGGTATTTCCCGTTAGGTTGAAATGTTTCATTACAAATGAATGTGAATGAGTTGTGAGTTAACTGACCGCCGTCTCTTTCAGGCTGGACTGAACGGGCACATGTACAAGATGCCCGACATTCCCGAATCTTTCTCGGAGCTCAGCGACATGAAGTAAAGTCATTCCGTCCCATTAACCGAATCTCTTTTTTTTCCATCGTTAATCTTTGAGTCAGGGGCACTGGTTCTTTTTCCATCTGACCGGCTGTCGTCTTTTTGCTCTATCCAAGCCTCACCCAGCTGTCGGAAATGTCTGAGAACGAGGACGTTTTGCTGGAGTTCTTTGTGAGTTTGCCACAACTCAAACAGGTCACCAGCGACAAAGAAGAGCTAGTGGCCAGTATAGTGGAGATGGCTAGTAAGTTCCTTTCCTGTCTGTACAGAAAAGCCTATCAATCTGTGGTGATGATGATGATGATGATGGGCGGTATCTGATAAAGACTCTTTCTTACTTGTAGAGAAAAACCTTCAGATGGAGCCGCAGCTGGAGGGAAGAAGACAAGACATGCTCTACAAAGTTAGTTCTTCCGTCGCTTTTCTCTCAGTCGTGCACAGGAAACGCGTCACGTTTGTCGTGCTGCCGCTGACGTGCCTTTTTCCTCCTCTGCGTTCACAGTACGATCAGCTGACCCAGATGAAGGCGGCCTTTGAGACAAAGATGCAGAGGCAGCACGAGCTCAGTGAGGTCAGTGGCTGAACAAACTGTTTGAACTGATGAGCAGATACCTGATTGCAGCCTCTGGAAATGTGCTTCTTAGTTTCTCATTTTTAAAATTGCACCTCTTATTTCATGTAGTCAAAACGTTACGAATCTTTTCGCATTGTTATTTCAAATATATGCCCACTACCAGTTAATCATACCTTCTTTAATAAGTAGCTAAGTTTAATGGCTTGTTTCACAAAAAATTGCCTTCTAAACTGTCATGTGAAGAGGACCTCCCAACACCCCCAAATGACCCCATCACAGCACCACTGACCACAGTTAGGGACAGTCTAACGCTGTCACAGGACGAGAGGTCTTTGCTTTTCAATGTTGGATAAATTATTGTTAAATGTCTTTACTTACCCATTTGTGTATCCAACCCTCAACTAGAGCTGCAGTTTAAGCACTCTGCAGGCTCGGCTAAAGGTCGCCGCCCACCAGGCCGAGGAGGAGTCGGAGGAGACCGCCGAAAACTTTCTGGAAGGACGCACCGACATCGACGAGTTCCTGACCAACTTCATGGAAAAGAGAACGGTGAGAGAAGTTTTAAAATCTCCGTGTGACATTTTTACTGAAAGGCTGTTGTCGCTTTCTTCTAAATGCTTTTCATACCTTTGTTGTTTTGCAGCTTTGCCACAGCAGAAGAGCCAAAGAGGAGAAGCTGCAACAGTCTATAAACATCCACGGACAATTTCCCCCCAGTCACTAGACAACAAGGTAAAGATAGCGTGCAGCTTTAGAAACACAAACCTGGTCGCACAACAGTGTTTTCGTCTCACGAGGCAGTGAAACGGCACTGGCTCAGGCACTGCTTGCATTCCTCTCTATTTCGACGTCATTTAAATCTGATTTCTTATATTTCCACCAGGCTCTTTCGTCAGTTCTCTGGTCGTCGGGTCTTGGTGTTTCCTCTGCCCAACTGCTGAAAAGGAACAGCAGACTTTACAGAGGCTAAAAGCACACCGAGGCCACGATTGGCACCTTGAAAATAGGAAACGGTAATGAAAACGCTACAGTAAAATACAGACCAACGTCTTTAAAATCCACAGCAGGAGACCAGACGTGGGAGTGGGAGCGACACAAGCCGGGATTACCTCGCCTCATTTTCACGGGCGAATCCCCTGATGGATCATTTCTTCTGCCGTTTCTGTCCATTTCAAATTTCATTTGACAATGAGTCTTGTTTCTTTTTGGGGTTTATATCACCTGCACTTTGATCAAACTGTTTGATGTGAATACATTTTTTAAAAAAGTACACAGAATTCCCACTCATACATCTGTCCATGCAGAGGAAATGGAAGTATGGAGGTGCTGTTAGCACCTGGACCGTCCACTTCTGACAGCATTTCTTACTTTATGATTTATCAAAGGCCCCTTTTCTGGTTGCTGTTCTGGGTGTGTTGGATACTTATACTTAACATTCACATGGGTTACACGTCTGGGTATTTAACATCAGAAAGACAATTTGAGTCAGTTTAACAAAGCCATTTTCAGATTTAACCTGGAAGGACTTAAGCAAGGATGGGCAGGAGGCCTGTCTTTTGGCTCTTTTAGAAATGAAACTGCGTTTTAACTGGGGAAAGTGGTTTGTTCTTTCTGGACCTGTCAGAGTTGGCACTTTGAGCAAATCCTGTACGCTGTGTGTCCATCAGCGTGTTTGCATAGACATTGAGAATTTGGTCTCACATATTAAGGCAGCACTCTGAGAACCCTGCAGCAAGTTTACCTACCGAACATTTTCATAAACCAGTCACCAGATCAAACATCAGGCAGAAGCTGTGTCTCCAGTTTTATGACGTTCCCTGCTAATCGAACACTATCATGGAATCAGTTATTTGAACTCAAACACTCTTGTGACAGTTTAGGGACACCGTTGCCCTCTTTTTGTTGCCTTAATAGGTATTTGCGTGGATGCAGACACACGGATCACTGTTTTGCCCCGATATGCACAGTTATGACAGCTCAGCTTGTTTTCTCACACCTTTTGAACTTGAACTTGGTGATAAAAAGCCTCAAAGGAAATAATAGTGTTGATGAATATTAGGCTCAATGCTGCAGTGAAGCTTGGTGACATCTGATACTGTATTTAAATGTTGATAATAGGCTATATTATAATCAAAAACTCAGACACCTTGTATCATATGTTCTTATTTAATTTGTTAGATAAATAAAGCATTTAGAATAAGATGTTGTTCTGTGTGTTTGGACCTCCTATAAACGTTCACCTAATGGTCAGACTGCAGGGCTCACAGAAATGATTAGAGCTGTGTTGCAGATTCTACATGCCTGAGTTTGCATATTGAATGGGAAAGTTTATGGCGGCACCCTGAACTGGTAAAGCCTGTTCAGAAGGGCTGACAAAGAAAGACTCTTCCCTGCAAACCTCAGGGCCTGAGACAAACCTCAGGTTGGATGAAAAATACAGTACAAGATATCATTGTAAAATATCTGCATGCAAAGTTTCAAACACGCAGGAAAGTGATGATTTGGGCCTGTTTTACAGTCTGTGAACTCCTCTGTAAATATTCTAAAGTATGAAGCCAGTCTGACAGATAACAGTACATTTAACTGGACAATAATTCTATCTAAGCAAAGTAGCAGATCTACATCAGATTGACAAAAAATGAATAAGTAAAATAATAGAAAGAGCTATCAATGTCTGGACCTCAACCTGACTGAAACCATTGGAAGGCCAAATGTATTTATACCAACTATGGGTTTATGTTCTACAGGAAGGTCTGCTGACACAGTTACATAGTCACCCTTCCTAATTGTAAACGGCAGTTTTAAATGTTCTGAACTGATAACTAGCTCGCACACGTTCCTGGAAAACGATGGCAGTCAGAGTAAACAAGTGACTCAAAGTGTCCCTCGCTCACGTGGATCCCGGTCCTCACGCTGACGCATGCGCATAAGCCTCCGCAGCAGCAGGGGGCAGCAGAGCGCCTCAAAACACGGAAGGCGCGCCGCGTAAACTGAGGAGAAAAAGGTAAACCTGTACTACATTCCTGACAGGAACATCCTCAATTAAAAATACTTTTAAGTTTAAAAAAAAAGAGACGCGAGCAGGAAAGCAGCGAAACGACGTCCGCCTGCACGTCTGAAGGAAAACGTTACAAACCGTTGACGTCCAACGGGCTGTTTGCAACGTTTGTGTCCGCGAAGTTTTCGTTTCCGCGTTAACCGAAAAGTCAGGTTGTTCTAGTTTAGAGTTGACGGTCCAAAAATCTGTCTGTCACGTCGGTTAAATGGATATGCATTTAGAGTGAAGTTTTTATAAGCCGTCCCGGTGATTCTGTTGGCTCAGAGTCATGTCCCGGCAGATGGGAGACAGCCACCGCCGGTTCCTGCAGGCCATGATGGGCCGCGGCATCACCGACGAACAAGGAGCGCTGCGGCTCTATCAGCACTGCTGTGAAACACACAAAAGTGAGTTTTTTTTGGGTTTGTTTGCTTTTTATATTTGTGCTGTTGCATATAACCTTTTTCTGATGCTAACTGAAACTCAGTAGCTGAGAGTAGGTAAATGCCGGAGAAGTATTTCCAGAGCTTTTCTATTCTGGCGCTGCCTTTAGGGAAACGATAAAAAGCAGGAATTTAGAATTTTTTGCTCTCTTCAAAATGTATCCAGCAGTTTTAAATTGTCATTGTCCAGAACTCCCAATATTGTAGGTTAAAACTTGATGGGACTGTGTGTTAATTAATTTTTTTTCCATTTCTTTATTCCACTGCTTGTTATACTGTGACAGATTAGTCTGACTTCATAGTACTGATGCAAAGAAATACTTGGATTTATTTGACTTTGCAGGGATATATTAATTATATTAGTATTTAACTTTTGGAAAAAGAGACAGTACTTGCGAATAATCTTTTGAGATAATCATCATATTTTTCTCCCCCGTTTTGCAGCACAATGTGCTCCAGACAAACTGGATGACTTCATTGATACCATCAACTCAAAGCTCCAGCCAATGTTCATGCAGATCAGAAAAGGGATGTCTGAGGACAACGGTCAGCAGTACTACGCTTTGGTAAGAGAATTCTGCAGAATCTTGCTTGTCTTTCGACCCAAAGATAAGTTGTTGCTAAACGTGCAAGCAAATTAGTGCATCAGAATCTAAAAAAGCAGAGTTAATTATTATCATAGTTAATAGGTTCCCTTCTGATCTTGTCCAGGTGAATATGGCTGAAACAGAAATCACCAGGATGACGTCGGATTACGCTGACAATGAGCTGGAGCTGTTCAGGAAAACAGTGAGTCATTTTTACACTCTTCATCCCAAAAAATCTTCTGTGAAATTCTATTTATTTTTTGTAAACCTGGTGATTTTTTTATTAGATGGACCTGATTGTGAGCTCTGAGAACGGCAAGGCCTCCTCCACAGAGATTCTGAACAGCACCGACTCCATGACCTCCAAAAAGCTGAAGAAGAGCGAAACGGAGCACCTTTTGAACCGGCTCGTCAACGACAAATGGCTCTGTGAGGTAAGTTGCATTGTGTGCACTAAGATTTCCCACAGCTACAAAAAAAAGCTACGACTTGCATTCATCAGCTGCGGCCTCTTTTGAACTCAGTTTCTAATATCTTTTAGGAGACTTATTTCCCCTAACCTGCTGTCTTAATCATGCCGGTTTTGGCGCATTTATTTAATAGGAAGGTTGTAAGACGGCACAAAAGTAGAAATCCCTGTGGGAGAATGAGAAGTCCATGGCAGTAAAAAGTCAGGAATTCAGTGGGATGACTGATTTAAAATGTTTGAGAGATAATGTTTGATTTTATCTGCGCTCTGGTATTTTTCAGGAAACTTCTTGCTTCCTCCACAGTGATGTTTGTTATGTGTAACGGAGAGCTTTCTCTGAACTCAGAAACACGGGGAGTACACCCTGTCCACCCGATGCATCATCGAGATGGAGCCGTACATTCGGGCTATGTACCAGGATCAGGTGAAGGTGTGCCACATTTGTCACAACATCGCCTTCCAGGTGAATGCTCCTTGTGTTTGGCCACTTACTTCTATTCCTTATGCACCCGGGTGACAAACGCAGGAATACATTAAGGAGCTCATTCTTAAAACTACTATAAAGAAGATGAGACGCTGATGTGTGTGTATATATATATATATATATATATATATATATATATATATATATATATATTTCTTTTGGCTTAAGGTGTTGTATTTGTATTAATGTCTGGGTACATGTGAGCAGTAAAGATCATTCTGTGTTTAATTATATAAATTAGTTCCACTTTCTTGGAGTTTACATGAAGAAAAATTACTTGAATTGTGTCAGAAATGCGAACAGATTTAGTGAATCTGAAACTTTTTCTCTGTTTTTACAGTGTTCACAGTAACAATCCCATCTCTTTCGTTTTCTTTTTTTTTGTCTCGTAGTGCCAAATTTGTGAGAATCCTACATGTGGCATTAAAATACACAACCCATGCGTGGCCAGATACTTCAAAGGAAGAACAGAGCCACATTGTCCAGCTTGTGATGACTTTTGGCCACATGAAATCCCTGGTAATTAATTTCCTTCAACAAATGCTATTTTTGCACTTTTTACGAGTAAAATAGGTCTATTTTATAAATCCTATTTGATAATAAACTGTTCTACGTTAGCACATCATCTTAGTGATGGAGATAGATGAGCATCGTCCTTACAATGTCATCTTTATTTTCTTTCTGCTCCTCTTTTCAGAAGTAAGACGACCTCATACGAAGTCTAGGAGATGAGGACATCTGTAGTGGCTGTTTTTTTATTTTCCTTTTTTTAAAATCATAATTTTATAACAAACTTTTAATAAACCAAATACAATGTAAATATTTCAGCAGTGTTGTCAATTTCCTTTTATTTATTACATCTATTCACACGTTCCTTACAAACAAAAACAAAAAATAATAACTTCACATATTATGATCATTACAGTTTGTGTTCTCTTCTCTGGCTCCCTCCATTAATAAAATGGGCCACCTTAATATGATTTATTTACATCAAGAAGAATCTGACATAATAAAATTAGTATTAAAATGTGCTGAGTTACTAAACTTCATGCATATTTAAGCCCGTAAATACCTATCATTGCTATGCGGTTGTTTAAATATTTAAAAAGATAATCTGGTACAAAAGAAGTTCAATGTTCTTGTACTTTTATTATTAAAGCTTTTCTTTTTTTTTTATAATAAAAAATCCTTTTTCTTTTTTTTCAGAAAATGCCACACACTGATATTTTTTTTCCTTTTTCCTTATTAAAACTGGAACCGATTGTTTGAGAAAACCAAACAATCAGTAAACAACCAAACTCTTACATTTATGAGCCTGAATACGAACGATTTTCATTCTGCGTTAATTTTGAAATGTAGATCATTATTGGGTGTGAGGTTAGTTCTCTGAAGTTGAACTAAACAGCAGTAGGTACAATGGGAAATGAGTCCTTTATTCAGACAGGCTAATAAATATTATGGAACAAATGAAGCAAAAATCAAACCACAGGCTTCCACATCAGCTTAAACATTAACCTACCCTCCGTTTTAACGGGCTATTTCCACACGTCTGACATGTTTTGTGACTAAAGTCTGTTGCCATGAGAGGAATTCTGCTCAAGGCTCTTCAGGGTCACCATAAAAGAGATGGCTTTACTAAACCAGGGTTAGAAAAAAAGCATACATCAGTGGCTTGAAACAGGAATTAAAGTACAGCAGCCAGGAAACAACTCCCCAGGACAATGCACTGATGGATGGACACGGATGAAGTGGATCAGTTCAAAGACTCTGCACACGCCTGATTGTTGCATCCTGACCAGAATCAGGTGTGTTGAAGCAGGGAAATTTCTGAAGAACATCGATACATGCTTGTACTGTTGATGTATTCCCTTTTTGATTGTTTCTGTTGTCCTACATTTTACCTGCTGCCATTCTACTTTCCACTTTTTAACTTTTGATACAAGGATGTTGATGCGGAATATGATGACATTGTGTGTTTTTGTGAAAGTGTTGTTTATCAAACACCTTTGACAATAATGCACTTGGGGTTTAACGTGTCAACAGACATAATTACATGGTGTAAAAAATCTTCCTCACTAACACAAACCATAATGCTTGTTTTTCCTTTGGCAATAAATCCCCAACAGATCAGCAAAGTTTATGTTTGTGATAAGATAGTTTGTGGAGTAAATATTTAACTCATATAAAACATTGTTTAGAGTTACACAAATACCAGTGTAATGTTAGACAATCATAATTGAAAACAGACCTTTTAAGGAAAAAATCTTGTACTTTCATTAATATTCTAATCATTGAAACTGATTTATTAAATCGGATGGTACCAAAACAACCAGTTTGTTCATAATCAATTAGTTTATTGTGGCCTCTGTCATCCATATTGTTACGACAGTTTTTTTTGTTTTGTTTTTCAGCAAAACTATGTAAATTGAATTCTAATTTAAAATGAATGTAACCATTGGCATGTAAAACGATTCACTTTGTGGTTGATTTCGTCAGATGTCATTGGGAATTCCTACGAAAAAGAGAAAAGAAAAAATAACAGAGAAGAGAAAAGAAACAACAACAATTCTTAAGGCTTTGTGATTTTCTCTTGTGGGCTGCAGAACTAAGAGGGGGTGATGAAACCCCCTCACCAGTGGTGAACTGCTGCCACCTGCTGATGAATTCAAACAGACCCAACTGTCCATCACTCTGCAGATCACAGTGCCTCATAAAGTAGTTTCATTCTCTTTTGGTAATCTTAATCTCTGCAGAAGTCGTTATGTGAATATTCGGACACTAGAGGGCAGTGTTGGTAAAACCTCTCCATCAGTGGACCGTAAACAAAACCCAGTCCCATGAAATAAATAAACCTCTACTTCTTCTATAAACTCTGAAGAGTATTTTATAAGCAATGCTATGTTTGGTGTGTTTCAAGTGTTAACCTTTGCTATTGTTTATTTGTTTTTATGAACGTTTCAGCTAAGTAAGAGTTTTATAACTTGTTTTTGAGGTCACATTTGTCAAGTGTTCAGCTCAAATATAACTTACATGATATTATTATTATTAGTAGTACTACTATCAATTCTTATTTTGTGATAATAATTATTAAGATTTTTTTTTTTAATTCTCAAATTCAATTGTACATTTTGCAAATATGTATATTACATATTTTTTTAAACTAATAGTAGACTGTGTGGTTAGTCTTAACTTTACAGGTTCATGTTATTTTTTCAGTAATGGCATGACAAATAAACTTAAGTCAGATTTCTGTTTTCAACCCCTTTGTTTTCTGTGTATATTGCATTTCTGTGTATATTGCATTTTCAATATTTATTACTCTTATTACACAATTATCCGTTTTTTTCCTAATGCTGTTTACCAACGGCCCATAATAGGAAAAGCGGTTAGTTTGTTTAGTCTGGACGTGACTTCAAGGTTAAACGAGAACCGACTGCCAGGGAGGAAACAGAGACAACCCGAAAGAGATGACGGCTGTATTTTTTTACGAGAGAAAGGACGAGTGAAGGGATTCTGCGGTAAGATGGCTGCCTTTTTTTTTTCTTTTTAGGGCAAGTTTTCAAAAGGTTAGACGTGAACTGTCAGAGCAGAGCACTGTGAAACTCAGGGCTTTAAAGATTCTGCTGAACCTGCTGAAAGGCAGATTTTTATTTAATCCAGCACATGCTAATGGAAACGAGGTTGTCTGAGCTTTTCGTCTGCTGTAACAGAACTTTTCCTGAGTTAGGCCTTGAGCAGCATTTATTTAGACGATGCTGATGTTAAAGTCGGTTAATCAGATTTTAAAAGAAAAGAAAACAAATTGCAGATTTGCCATTTATTGTGGCAAATATATCTCATGCTATTTCTGATCTGGACATGTTTTCCTTTCGATTGCAGCTTCTTCATTGATTCTCACTTTAATAATGTTCACACAATCTCCCTCTCTTCTTCACAGGAAGCAAAACGGTTGCCGGCCGGCAGTCTGACGCTCACACTGTGAGAAGGACACCTCTGTCTTCCTACAGAAGAGCGAGTCCTGGATCCACTTTGATGTCGCCCCCTCCTCTCAAAGGAAAGGTCAAAATAATAAATGTAGGCCCAACATAAGAGGGGGGGGGGGGCATCAATTTTTGGACGAGTGAGCCCCAAAAGACATAATAAATTCTTACAGTGAGACATGGCGAAAAGGGAAAACAGCATGAATCCTCTTTGTATGAAAAGGTTGATCTAAATCTGCAGACAAGCCTGGCTCCGGCCCTCATTCAATAACACACCACTTTGCTCTTTCTCTTTTAAACACGGGCTAATAGGAGGGTTTTATCTGTTTTATATCTTTGGCACCTCAGTAAGCTGCTCGAGCTGCCTCCCCCTCACCGCAAGACATCTTAATTCAACAGTAAATGATTTGAGATATCACCATGTATTAGAAAGATCATTGTTAGGTTAACCAGGCAAAAAGATTTGTGTCAGTAGGTCAACAGAAACTGAGCCACTTTCTTTTAAGGTCAAGTGAATTTATCTAAAGAAGTGGGAAAACAGCAAATCTGTTATTAAAACGACAGGAAAAGATAAACATTTGAAGGTTTAAGATTCTAACAACTTTACACAGTTGGGACTTTTAATGTGTGAAATTATATTTGTTAATTTGAGTTTTGTGAAACCCTAAAGTCGCTCATTCGGAATTAAATGGTGAACTCTTACAAGCAGAAAGCACTTGTGTAAAATAGACCTAATTTCCAAGAAAGACAATACAATAGAACATTTCAATAAGTAATATATTGTTTATTTTATCATTTTTTGAAGAGATACATGAATTTTTCCCCGTATCTTTAATCACTTATTTATTTGCATTTATAAATTATGACTACACATGAAACATTTTATTATTCAACAACTAACTTAAATAGCTGAAAAATTTGAACATTTGAACATTTGAAAAGATGTTGTTATCCACAGACTGCTGGGACCCTGGTTAGGGTGTCAAGATTGACTATAAAAATAGGATATCAAAGGTTGTTCTTCCACAGACAGATGAAACGTTACTGCTAAAACTCAGTGAGCTACAAAACAATATTATAGCATTGTAAAAAAAAAAGGTTAAACTTACCTAAAATGAGTTGAGTTGACTCAAGTGAAGTTGAGTAGTGTTGAGTTGGACCTTGTGGAAAGGGCTAAAAGACCGTTTGGCCCAACTGGTGTGATCACAGATCACAACCACCTTGAATTGATGACCAGTCGAAATATCTAACAAGACTGGACACAGTTTGCCCTGAAAAATGCCCCTAAATTAATATCCACCCAAAAATTAAAGGTGTTATTTAGAAGAAGAAGAATGAATGAAGGAACATATTCTTAGATATTTCCCTAAGAATGTATGCCAGTATGATGCCTGCATTATATTTACTTTAAGTGCAATTAAGTTGGACTCAGAATAAAACAAATTATTTATTTAGACACTAACAGACTTGCCTGTTGAATAAAGGCTTGGATAAACTGTCAAATGACGTATTTAACTTTTTATTGCTCCACATTCAAAGAGAATTGCTAAATGAAATGTGTTGAAACTAACTGCGGTTCAATTAAACGCTCGTGCCCATATTTCAGAATTCCGGGCTAAAAAACTAACTCTTAATGAAGTAGACGGCAGAAGAAAGAGCGTTCAGTCATTTTGAATGACGTGTTCGTGGACACAGTTCACAGGTGAACTAAACACTCACACATTGGAGAAGTTCATTTTTGCCCCACGCACGCAATCGTAATTTCCTGTGTGCTCTCCCACGGGCTCCCACGAGCTGCATCACGTGCGCAGTCCTGTCCTGAATCACTCGTCACCACGGCAACCGGCGTTCACACCGTCCCCCCCCGCTCTCAGTCAGCATCCCAGATACCCGAACCAGTCCACAGTCGACCGGAGAACCCCCCAAAAAACCCCACGGTAAGTTGAAATTCCTCCCTATGTAGCAGTGTCTTTTTGGGGAAGGGGGGGTTGGGGTTGGGGGGGGTGGGTTGTGGGGTGTATTTGTGCGGTGAGAGGGAGACGAATTCCGGGACCACTGCGGAACTATAGTCGCAGAATGATTGGATTTAATGATTTAGTGCGAGCTGCGTTTGTGGATGAAAAGAGACGCGTCAAACATTTATTCGAAGGCTTTGTCTGACTTCCGTGGCAGGGGTCAGTTGCTGCTTTGCCTTTATGCGTTTATATAAGATGCCCATCTTTGGATGGATCTAAGGTGCTTAGGGGACATTAATTAAAACAGCAATTAATCGCAATCACGTGGAAGATAATGCGTAATAGTGGAAATGATATAACTTTACAAAAAAGAGGCAAACAATAATTCAGACACACAACCAAAAATGGTTGTAAAATGTGTTTTTATCAACCTATCTGTGCTGTCTGACCGTTGGTGAGGCTGCACAGCTCCTGTCGCAGCAAGTTCAGATATGCATGACCAGTGAACCCTGAAGAACTTGACAGAACAGGGCAAACACTCTTCTGCCACATTTTCACCCTCCCAGCATCCCGGCCACCTCTTCCCTGGCTTTTAATACAGATCTGATTTGTGGGAGGAATGGAGCCGGAGTCAATATTATTCTTTAAAAGAAGACTGAGCATATAAAATGTCAGCGGCTCTGCTAAGAAGATGTCAGTGGCAGCTCTCTCATTTCCTGGGCTTGTTTCCTGCCAGAGTGTGGGAGCACTGAGTGTTTGACAGCATTTGGTAATCACGCATTCGGGATGATTCATCGTACCCATACTTCCACTCCAACTGTGGGGATGAAAAATGGTGGTCAGCACAGATGACCACTTCAACCACCCACTCGTCAAAGTCTTTAGTCTTGAGTTATTTTTTTCCATATCCGACCACTTTTACTGGACAGCGATGTCCAGAATCCATTTTGCCACCTTGAAATAAAATAATTTCATGGAAAGGTTCATATTTAGAATTTAAAACATAAAACAAGCAATTGATATCAAACATTTTCGACATGGCGACAGCACATACTTCCCTTTCTTTTTGGATCCTTTATTCACAAGGTTTTTGTAACGATGCTTTAGTAAATGTTTCCACATCTCTTATCAAAAACACATTTCCGAGGCACCAGGGACTTCTCCAGCCCTGTAAAGAGCCATGGCACTTTGCCTCCTGGTGTGTGTGTCATCATTGTGAGTCAGTGGCGTCAGCAGGCCGATGGGGTCTTTGGCAGGAGGAAGGTGTTGTGTTGCACTGTGTGAATGAGATAAGTGGCTCCTCACCTCTTTCCAGCAGGACCGGATGATCATTTGATGCAGAGAAAACTGTATTGCTTGGTGTAAGTGTAGAGAAGCATTGATTGAACTTGATTAAGATGTCTAATGTAAATATTAAAGACAGAAGAATTGGGTGGGGGAAGTGTATACACAGTGTATATGATATGAATCAAACACAGGAGTTATGAAACATGTTTACTCTGCACTGTTGGACTGAAACAACAGACAGAGAACAGGCTGTGTTATCCAAATAACACCAAAGCTGCATGACTAATCACCGTAACCTCACTGAATTATTCAAAAAGCAAATCCTGAAGACGTAGCTTTTAATTTGGGAATTGTTTTCTTTTTTTAGTTGCGGAAGCGGGTGAATTATGGGTACCGTCTAAATGTCGCTGGAGCCAGCAGAGAATTAATTCCTATGTTCTCAAAGAACCCCTGTTCTACAGTTTGAGTTTGCCCAGAAACACATTCCCAGTCCCACCTCATCTTTTGCTGTGTTTTTTATTTTTTACTTTAAATCACTCAGAAAGCTGGTTAATCTGTATGTAAGCATTTAGTCTGCTGTCCCTATCATGTTCATCCTTTTATTTAAGTAGCAGTAATAGTAGAACCAGATGTCAGTACTCATAGTAGCTATGAATTAACTAAACACATTTGAATGTTGTTGTTTTTTTGTAGTTTTATAAATAAACTTTAGAGACCTGGTGATATAACATGATTAAAGTTACCATATCTCACCCTGAGTTTGACATGAATAGAAACAAAAAATATCTCCTTTGACAATTATAGAATGTATGCAATCTGATGTTGGTCTGCACTGTCATATTTGTGCCGTGGGTTCTGTTTTGATCACACTGTTATCTTTTCTACCTTCCTCGTGTCCTGGCAGGACCCTCTATCACTTTTGGTGACAGAACACACGGGCTGACTCAACCAGATCTGTGCTCTCTGTCCCCGATTTTAAGGCATTTTCGTCCAGGCATTTTCAGCCAGCCGAGCAGCCATGGTGAAGCTGGGCAGCAATCTGTCTGATAAGCTGGAGAAGCAGCCGTCCGCGGACGACGGCTTTGACAACATCCCTCTCATCACGCCGCTGGAGGTCAACCAGCTCCAGCAGTCGTATGCAGACAAGGTAACCAACCGCGTTCTGCCAGAGAGGCCTTTTTTTTCCGTGCATCCCCACATGTGGCGAGAGCGTCACGCCTCCGAGTCGGCCGCCGCAGAAAACCTTCATTACGGCATTAAAGAGATCTCCGAAAGATTGTGGCTCACTGCAGAACTCGTGGGACAAACCCCATTAAAATTCATGTGGGCGCACTTACCTTCCCCTCAGAAGCCCGAACGCTGAGCCTGCTGTATTTACTTCCCTATCGTTCCAGGTTAAAACCTTGGCATCAGCCCACACAATTCAAGCACCTCTGCAAATGCATGATACAAGAAGAAAGCCCTCAGAATATATCTATATACAATTTTGGTTGGATGGTGCTTTTAGCCGCACAGTATGTCCTTCGAGCTGTGTTGCTGTTAGCGAAACATTAACACGAAATATTTTATAGTCCACAGTTGTCTGTTGAAACAATTTGGTGAATCTGATTCCTTTCTAAGCTCCTTTCTGAGCTGCGTATGTTTGTGGGGGTGCAAGAGATTTTATTTTTCGTGACCAGTGGATTCAGGATGATGCTGAAAAAAGATGAATCCGTCAACCATAATGGAAACTTTGAGAAAACCTTCTCATGGTGCCCCTTCTCTCCCACAGGTCATCGTGAAGACATCGACACAGTATCAGCTGCAGCAGCAGAAGAAAAACCGGCTGTACGTTCCCAACATAAAGAAGCTGAATATCAACTTCTACAGCGATGTCTCGGATAGAGCCAAGGTACAACATTCACCTGTCAGAGAGGTTTGCACAAACTCGTATCCGGTCAGAGGACAGAGGACAATCATTCGCTTAAATCATAAAAGGCATCGGCCACTTTAGCTTACCTCATTTTCAGCAATTACGTAAGAGAGAGAGACAAGATCTTCCCCAGATTCAAGCTCAAGTGAGCTGTGTGAAAAGTCTGAAACAGAGTGCTGCCACCTTCCCTAGCAAAGACCAGAGTACACTAAGGCTAAGAAAGACAAACAAAACCTGAATATACAGACAGTTTCTGATGGATTTGCTTGTAGAGTTCAACAGGTTGTAGATAAGTCACTAACATCTATACTGCTAATGAATAGCTAGATAGAGACTTATTACTCATTCTGCAGCACTTTTCTCCTATTGTGGACACTTAGTTGTAGAAAAGTAGTAGAAAAAATACAAATATTCACATTAGTTTCCTTCTTTAAATCAATAATGCAAATGCAGAGTCCTACATAATTATAGAAATCAATGTACCATTAAACACAAAGATATAAATGATTAGCTGTAATGTTTTTTTTGTTACCAAATGAACTCAACACCAAAGTAATCCGTAACCAAAACCAGCTGCCACAGAAGGGCTATCAGCCTCAGGGCCTCGCAAAAAAACACCCCAAATAAAAAAGAAGTGGACATTTTGGATGCTTGCTCATACTCGGCTCTCCAAAATAAATTATTGAATCATTATAAGACTTCACAGATACATGAACTCAATCATCAAACTGTTCACGGGTCAAATTTGTGAAATCGCCCTCTAAAAAATTCATGCCCTTTTTGTTGTCTTTGAAAGGACTCTTCAGTGTATCCAAATAAACGGAATAAACTTCAGTAGGGTAACAACTCTGGATAAAGACGTGTAGTCTTAAAAAAAAAAAATCAGATTTCATGCTCCCACAGTCATAAACTCAGCATGTCAGATCTGCCTTTTAGCAGTCAGAGGAAGACACACAGGCTCACTCCTCCAAATCGCTTCTGCTCGCTTCCCCGACAACAAGGAAGAACAATATTCAGACTATCTGACCTTCCTTTTCTGAGAATCTCAGTAAATTCACGACAGAACTGTTATTTTACTTGTGATATGTCTTGTAACACATAAAAACATAGAAGTATAGATTTCATCTAAATACAAATAGAGATTTCTTGCAAAAGGTAAATTTGCTAGATAAATTTGTGTTGTTTATTTTAAAACTTGCTACAGAAATTACTTTTTTTATGTGTGTGTGTGTGTGTTTGTATTGATGCTGTTCAGATCACAGGCTTGATCCTCATCACTTTGGCGTTTTTGACCAGCCTGCTCCTTCTGCTCATGTACAAAGCCATGTGGTACGACCAGCTTATCTGCCCTGAGGGCTTCATTCTAAAGGTGGGGAACATTTATACACTTGCATGCAAACAAAATATGTGAAATGAAATACACGGTCATTAAAAACGCCCACGGACTGTTTGATTTAAGAGATTTTATGAGTTCACTGCGAGCCACGGTGAGCCCCGGCTCTCTTTTGACTCTGGCTGTGACATCATGTCTGATCTGCACAGACTGTACGATAAATATATGCTTTTAATTCTAGCAAACTACAAACAGTGAACACCAACACACATTCTAAGCATCATGAGAGTATGAAGTAGGCGCAATTAGCTAATGGACTGAAAATGAACTGGGCTATTTACTGCTGTTTAAATTTAAAGGTAACAGATTTTTTTAACGTGCTTAGAATTGATTATTCTTCCCTTTTTTGTTACTATGCTGCATATTTCTTGACACAGTCTGAGGTGGAGCACACATATTACAGATCAGGCTGTAATTTAGCTGGGTTATTTTTTAGTTGCTTTCTAGAAAACCGTTGAGATTTGTGTTGGCTTTCAAGCATCTCCAACGTTGTGTTGATTAACATGCCGCTCCGTACTACGTTCCCATTGGTTGGCTGGTGACACAGTCACAAATTCTACCCTGTCTTTGGTCTCAAGCTGTACCAACAAAGATGTACACACAGTACATACAGTCTAATGTCTGTTTACCTTTGTTAGCCTCAGTCAAAGATATCCACATGTCGCCTTGTTTCTTCTCGACAGCATAAAATTACGCAGTTCTTTACAGAGAAATTGCAAGGGATATCCTATCTTTAAAAAAATGTAATTTATTTTGATGTACCCTATATCCTTGCAGATTAGTGTACATATACACATGCCTCCAAGTCATGTGTAAACACACGCCTGGATCAGATGCCTCCATTTTCTGGAACCTTACCCTAATGCAACATGACCATTGCAAATCAGCTCTTCAGCCAAACCTCAATCTAAATCTAACTTTAAACCAGGCCCTAACCAAATGTTTAATGATTTACATCATAAAGATGTACTTTCAGCCAGAAGAGAAGAAACAAGAGCCCACGGCATGGTTTTTGTAAACAGACTTTTGGCACCACAACAAGCACACGCACAGATGAATAAATATGGACGTATGTGATAAAGGGAAACGCGGGGACATAGGAAACTTTGGCAGATGCATTTTCTGATTTCCCAGCTGCACGGCAAAGGCCAGCAGAAGTCGAAAAGTCTTGTTTTTATCTTAAAAACTTTCCACTTTGGAAAACTCAGGGCAGAGCCATAATCAAAGGGCAGCTGCAAAGCTCACAATGGGGCTCATCTGGTGGCTTGTTTCTCGTCACACCCTCACAACTGTCACTTGAGGGGGATTCTTCAAAATCTGGGGCTGGAAACCAAATCTCATTATCTCCCGGCGACACCTTGGAGGCATCATGTACTCAGTCATTGCTGCTGCACATATTAGTTTAAAGGTCTCTCTCGCGGAGCAAAACCAGAGGGTGGGATAGACAGAGAGATGGGGGGTGGGAACAGAAGGGGTGATGAATCCTGCTTTCCGGTCAGGCAGAGATTGGGATGCCCGCATGTGAATCAGAGGGGTCTTTAATTAGGGCTCAGCGTGACTAAACTGTGATTAAAGGCTTAACAGTGAGGGGGAAAGCAAGGAAAAGGAAGAAATGGGGGAGGAAGAGAGGACCTTCCGGCAATGCTTTTGAAGTGTTTTGCAGGTCACAGTTTTAGGCTCTTTTTTTTCCTGCTACTGTCTTATCAGAAGCATAAACACAGAATGGTGCTAAAATCATGGAGCTCATATGAAACTAGCTTTACTTAACTTACTTAACTTACTTTACTTTGAAAGACCAGTCCAGGCATAAACAGAAGCACTTTTCAGCATCCATTATCTTAATTTTAAAGAGTATTTATACTTTTTTCCCAGTGATAAATTTTTAGGCCATTCCATTTTTCCACATATAATCATTAGGATTGTATGATTGAGGTTTTTGTGGTGGGAAGATTGATGACATTTTTCTAATGAGTCCTTTTGCATCTGTTTTCTCCTGTCTCTGGAGCTTGTTTGTAGCCAGCACTGAAATCGTAACTCAAGTGACTGCGTGTGACATTACGTTTTACAAGGTTCTTTTCAGAAAACCCAACTGAGCTACCACATGATTATCTTAAATGTCAGCGTGTAAAACGTTAACATCCTGAAACATACCAGAGAAGGCTCCTTCTAAAGGGATACAATGAATTACTTTTACACTGGCATGAATAACAGTGCATGATTTTTTATTGAAACATCAAGTAGGAGAAAGGCTACTTTGTTTTATGTGAGGTTTGGTGAATTATAATTAAAACCCAAGCACAGATAAAGCAATTAATATGAATAGCATATAATTTAAAAAAGAAGAGGGTTAACATGACATTGAAAGTAACAAAAACATATTAATTTGAACTTTGATGCTTAGCATACATTAAACTAAAATGTAGACATAATTTTTTTTACCTCTTTCCAGCAACAACATCTTTTTAGAAAACTGTGAGCATTTGGGAAACGAGAGCAGAATGTGTTGCTGTTTTGAAAGTGGAGCATTTTCCCATTTCTGCTTCACATTTCAACTTCACAAAAGTCTGGAGCCTCATTCATCATTTTTTCATTTCATAGTGGTCGATATGTTTCAAGTTGGTGACAGGTATGTACTGCAGGCAGTCGAGTTTGGACTTTGACGACACAGACATGCCTCCGTGGTTCAGGCAGAATGTGGTCTTTCAGGGTATAGCTTCAAAGTAAAACCCTTTTTCATTCTTCACTTAAATAGATGTTACAAATAGATGTTATAGATTATATATATATATATATATATATATATATATATATATGTATACCTTTTTAATCCAACACCCTTTTAATGTCCCATCCCACAGTTGAATCGTTCCACCAGAACTGAATAAGCCTTTTGGATGAATGAGAAAATCTCTTGAATAGCTGCTTAAATATATTTATTTTCCCCTTTATGCAATCACGTATTATTACCAGGATCTTGATGACTTTGAATTAACACTAACACACAAAAAAGCCCAGTCCGTGTTTACTCTCGATGCCTCCGTGTTGTTGTTGATGTCGAATCGGGGAATTCGCCGAAACTGCAGAGAACAAAGCTGTTCTTTTCATTTGGCCTGTAACAGCAGAAGCACTGCACCTCTGCAGCCATGGAGATGTTTTACCCGGATCAGCAGCAGAAGGAGCAGCAGGAGCAGGGGCCGGGCGTCCACAGCAGCACCAACGCCGGGCTCTACGCCGCTCTCAGCCACCTCAAAGAGGTCAAGAGGACTATGCCGGAGCTGCCGTCGCCATGGCTACCAGTCATCAGCGCGCTGAAGGAGACCGGGGAGGCCAAAGAAGAAGGCATCGAGGCTCTGACGGGAGTGCTGAACGAAGACAAGTGAGGGGTGCGTCAGGATGAAGGTGAAGGAGCAGAAAATGATGACGAGATATCGAATCACTTTTGCACGTATGTGTTTAAGATTTTCTTTTTCTCCCTAATGCCAAAAGTTTGATTGAAGGTTCACATCAGCAGTACAAGAATGTGTGTGTGAGTGTATGTGTGTGTGTTTGTGTGTGTGTGTGTGTGTGTGTGTGTGTGTGTGTGTGTATATGTATGCGTGAAGTGAGATGTGGTTAGAGACAGGAATGTAAATGACTTTCTACAGTATTCCTGAGACATACTGGAACTAAAGTCTACCATCTGCGTCCTCCGTTTAATCCCCCTCGTGTAAATCTGTACATGCTCACCCACGTGAGCACGCCTGTAGCATGACCATGTTTGCGATTGTGCACATTGTGTGACTGTGTGTGTGTGTGTGTGTGTGAACTCCGCGCACTTTCTACTGTGCATTTGTCGAATAAGTCGGAGGTGAAAGAAAGGAGGCGAGGCGAGAAGCGAAGTGAGAAGGGTAGATAACAACTTTTTAATGAGCTCGCTGTGCGTTCTGCCTCATCAGTCACCCTTGTTATCTTGCGTCCTCCTCATTAGTCTTGTTGCCGAATGTATGAAATCGCTAAGAAATGTGCTCAAAGTTTAATTATTAAGATGTTTCTCATTGAGCTTAAGTGAGTTGAAGTCACAAATCTATTATCCGCAGAGTGCAAATTGCATCTTTTTAACAGTAAAAGTAATAAGGCCATAAGTGAGAGTGTTTTTACAGTGTAATTCTGGATTTTTTTTTTGTGTCTGTTTGTGTGCCATCCAGAATCAATTACCGGAGAAGTTAATTTAATCAGTGGTAAGTGAAATGTATTATCCAACTGACTGCATTGTGTAAATTGGCATGGATATAATGTGAATCCACTTATGACTCCTTGTATGGCCATTCTGATGTTGCATAGAGGAACATTTCATGTATTATAGACAAACTCTAGACTTGAACCATTCTGTACTTCCAAGTATGTAAACTAACTGTAAACACTAGTCAGTTCCGCTCCATCCTTATACTGTTTTCACCAACTTAGTTTTATGTTTGCTCCACATTCTGTAATGAACTCATTGATGTACAGTCAGCACTGGGTTGTCTCAGCATAATCCTTGAATGTATGAAGTAGCTGCTTTTATCGTGCGTTAGATGTAATTGGAGTTTTTGATGTATGACCTTAAAGTCTATAATGTAGTTTAAAGGTTTTTGTATTTATTTGTCTGTGCATCGTTTAACATCCTAAGAATGGAGAAGATGTTTTTAAAAATGTCTCAAATGACCACAGGTCAGTGGAAATCACATGTTCATCTTTAAAAGGCGACGTAAATAATGATTTTTTTTACACCCACAAATTACATATTTTTCTCTAATAAACTGCAATTCACCTTTTTGTCTTAATTTTGAACTATATCGTTCTGTTTTTCTCACCTTGTAACTTGTTTTGGGACAAATCTCCCAAAGTGAGCAGGAGGAATCGGAGATCACCACTTTGGCCTGCGTTGATGTCCCAGCCGTTTAATGATTTTTCCAAGAATGTTTGAACATTGAATGCTAAAATTCATATAAACCATTTTGTGCTTTTATCTCGTGTTGTTTTAATTCTTCTCAAAAATAATTATTTAATTTATAGCAAAAATGGAGGAACCCTTTGAATGGAGAGGTATAGACCTCAAACATACAAAGTTTCCCCAACTGATCATATTGTCAACATACAAAATGTCTGCTAAGTTTTCGGCTGTAAAATGTGTTATATTTTGTATTTGAATTGCTAATGCTAAAATACACAATAAAATATTGTAACAAGTTTGATATCTATCATTTTTTGTGAGAAGCAAAGGCGAGTTCATGAACCTGAGTGTCCAGATTGACGTCTGCCAAACTGATTTTACTTTGCTAAACACCACCAAGAAAATTAAGATGAAAAAGATATAAAGAATAGAAAATTAATTGGGAATATAAAGTTAAATTGTGCTTTAGCTTTGGTTCCCCAAACTTTGGAGGAATAGGAGAGAGATGTTGACATAAAAAAATAGGGAAAATGAACCTTTAAAAGGCTCATTTTTTGGGGAGGACAGTTTTGCAGAGACCGTAAGAATAGCTCATGAAAAAACACACACTTTTTTGGCTCCCTCTTTCACTTTCAGATGCATTCAACCATGTAACACTTCATGGAGCTGCAGTTACTGGCTGGTGGAAGTATGTACAGTCAACATAAGAAGCCTTGGTATTAGGAGCACAAACAAATCCAAATGCTCACAATTAAACAGGGAGTGAAGTCACTCTGTGATTCCTTTACAGACTCCCTTTTTCCCCCTATTGTGTTGATCTACTTTTTCTTGGGTATGAAAGTAAATCACTAAAATGAAATCTTTTATCAGCTGATGAAACTAGAATAGCTTTTGATGCCAAATGGCAAGATTCCAGTATTATAGTATCGCATAAATGAAGACCGTAAATCATTTTAGATGGCTCAAATGACTTTTAGATTGCTCTCTTTTGCCTTGTAATACAAAAATCTACATAAGAAAGATGATTCAAACACATTGTGTGAGCATACCGCATTTAAACTCAGATAAAGGATAAAATCGAAAATGGTCCATTTGATATTTAGTAGGTAAGCACCTGTAAAGCATATTCAATACAAACACAATGTGCTTTTAATGAAGTTTAACTTTAATGTGGAATTTCCCAGGGATTTTCACAAATGTACCGTGTTTCTTACTGAATAAAAATCTGCTCATCATAAAGTTGGACTCAAGCTACAAGATCCGCATTTCTGAGGAGGAAAAGTCCCCTGCACGTGTTTTTTGTTGAGCGTTTGCTTGTTGAAAAATGTGCACGCTCTCTTGTTCCGATGCTCAGAATGCATAAAATTCAAGTAGGATTCCTCCGCATTTGCAAACTGGAGTTTAGCATTTCAAAACTCAGCCACATCCTCTGCTTCTCCCTGGGTTCACTGCTGTGAGCCTGTCTGCATCTCATTTGCACTCACATATTTTCACACCATCGATGTAAACCCAGGGATGTGTGGCTTAAGGTTTATGTGCGTGTGTGTGTCACAATGAAATCATTAACTTAAAGCTATGTGTGCTAAAGTTAATGCGTGTCTTGTGTGTCTTTATGTGTGTGAGCCGATGCTTAGACTGCTAATTAAATCTACATTATGCCCTGTGCAGCCTTAAGGTTTTTTTTCTCCCCTCCTTTACTGGGTGACATGCTTTAGATGCTGTTGGCCCAGAGCATGGAATTAAAGAAAGTGCTGAAAAATATTTATTAGGGTATTTACAGGTCCCATGCTTGGTCATGGCATTGCAAGTTGTGCCAAAAAGGCTTACATTCAAGGCCGGAGGAAAATCATGTAAAATCAGCCAAGTAGTCACGTAAAAGCCACCAAGCCTGATTTTCTGCTTTATAGCATCAACAGATCCGAACAATAAAATAGCAGGTTGGCTCTTTTATTTGACCTGTTTAGAGTTCAGAGTCCTCCCTTCCTCTGTGTTTCCCCTGATGATTGTAAGGGACACACGGCCAAGAGTCATTTAGCTGTTAGTATCCCACCAGAATCACATTCTTCTGGGACCTGATCTCACTCAAAACACTGGAGAGCAGGAGGACAGTTTGCACTATTCCAGCTCACTGGGGGAGAGGCAGTGTAAACCCTGAACAGGTCACCAGCAGATTTGTAAAAACTATTATGTACTTAACATAAAATCAGCTTCATGGTGACTGTATATATCCCATATGATCACTGGAAGTGAGGAGAGCAGAAAAACTTTTAATTCCCCTTTTGAAAGGTGTGCACCTTCAATCTGCTTTACTATTTAATTGTCAGAATAATAATAAAGACTAAGCATTGACAAGGGCAAAACCATGTTTCTCACAGCAAATACCTTTCAGCACCTTCTTATGTTAGGATTTATGCTTGCCCATGTTAAAAGCATCAGGGATTTGATTAGCCGTTATCAAACACACAGAGAAGACAAAACAGATTCTAATGAGAAACGTCTGCCTCACCAGGTACAAAGAGGCAAGTTAAAGTGTTTTAATTGAAACAATTTATTTTCTTTTTAACAAATCCTAAAACACTATTAAGAGCAGCTGGAAAACAGATACCTCTTAAATCCTAAAGAGCAAAAGGTTTAAAAACACGAGCCAAAAATGTCATGTACATAGAATCATACTTATAAAGCATTCCTGTCTTGTTCCTATTTCAGGCACACATGAGCGTGTCTTCTAAAAGTTGCCCTCACTCTTAGCTGTGAGTAGGACAAAGCGTCTTGACAATTGTTTGGTTGTTCACGCTCTGTTAAGAAAGTGTTTCACCCCGAAGTTTTCATCCTACAAGTTTAATTAAAAGTAAGTTGGGGAAATAAAGAGTGAAGAGACAGGGGAGAAATGAAAGGCAAAGAAGAAGAAGAAGAGAGAAAGAGAGCACCAGATGAGAGACGGCCAAGCCTGGGAAGTGAAGGTGGGGGGTGAGGGTCTGTGTAGAAGAAGAGGAGGCTGTGGAGGCCAAGAGGCACAGAGAAGGTGGAGGAAGAGGAGGAGGAGGGTGTATCCAAGCTGACCCCTGTGTCTATGTGTGTTGTTGTGTGTCTCAGTGGGTTTCCTCTGCGCTGGCGCCAGCTGGAAATGCCTCCACTAAGCAGAGGGAGTACACACATCATCCTCCATTCACCACCATTCAGCCCCTTTTGATGAGAGTAACACTATACACGCTCAGCAACCCTCACAGATCATATCAAGCTGCTGTTTAAAGGGCATGAAGTAGGGCCGGGGCTGCTGATAATAACTTATCGAGAGCACTAGCGGCCTGTCATCTACTTTCTTTGCCCTTCCAGAACAAATAAAAGAGAGCACAATTGAAAAGGTTTTGTTATTGGGATGATGGACTTACAGTGGGGAGGGTTTCATGAGGTACACTGCCACCTAGGGGCCATGTCCCGGTCCTGCAGGGAGAAACATTTCTTGTATTT